GGAGTCTCTGTGTGTGTGTGTGTGACATGGAGTCTGTGTGTGTGTGTATGTGTGACATGGAGTCTGTGTGTGTGTGTGTGTGTGTGTGACATGGAGTCTGTGTGTGTGTGTGTGTGTGTGTGTGTGCGCGCGCGCATGTGACATGGAGTCTCACTCTGTTGCCCAGGCTGGAGTCCATCTCACTGCAGCCTCCGCCTCCCGGGTTCAAGCGATTCTCCTGCCTCAGCCTCCTCGTAGCTGGGATTACAGGCACCCGCCACCATGCCCGGCGAATTTTTATACTTTTTTAGAGACGGGGTTTCACCACGTTGGTCAGGCTGGTCTTGAACTCCTGACCATGATCTGCCCACCTCGGCCTCCCAGAGTGCGGGGATCACAGGTGTGAGCCACTGAGCCTGGCTAGGAATCTGCCTTTTAACAAAGTACCAATAGAGGCTCTGAAGCGTCTCCAGGTGTGGGAGCTGCCAGTCTGACCCCCGGGATCCATTTACCAGAGGGAATCTGTCCTGGGAAAGAACTGGGGCATCACACACCAGGCTGAAGGCTGGGCAGGGGCGGGAGACCTGAAACACTGCGGAGGGGCTCAGGAACCAGAACACGCACCTCTCACCGAGGCCCCACCCAGCTTTGTCCCAGGCTGGGGTGCACACGCACCCCTCCGCACCCCCACAGTGTGCTTCCTGCAGAGACCAGGCTCACACCAGCCACTCTGCAAGTGCCGCTGGATGGCTGAAAACACCTCCTAAACCCTGAGAGGCCTCCTAACTCCCCAGCACCTCCCCACCTGGGAAATCACCGGTGAAGCCCGAGGCCCTTGGATGCCGGAAATGCTTCGTGAGCCCTAGACCTCCTTGTAAATTGGAAAATGCTTTGTAAACCCTAAAACGCTTTAGAAGCTTGAGATTACCAAATCTCATCGGCCCAGAGCAACCATAAGATGCAGCACAATTTTATGTAGCAGGAGGAGAGGAGAGAAAAACCTCCATAAAATAATGATGCAGTTCGAATTTGCAGTCCGTGGTTCTAAAACAAACTCCAGACTCCAAAGTTGTCCAAGTCGCGGCAGGGAGAGTATCTTAGAAGCGAAGAAATTTGGCCGGGCGCGGTGGCCTCACTTTGGGAGGCCGAGGGGGGTGCATCACCTCAGGTCAGGAGTTCGAGACCAGCCTGGCCAACATGGTGAAACCCCGTCTCTACTAAACACAAAATTAGCCGGGTGTGGTGGCGCACGCCTGTCATCCCAGCATCTCGGGAGGCTGAGGCAGAAGAGTCACTTGAACCCAGGAGGCGGAGTTTGCAGTGGGCCGAGATCGCGCCACTGCGCTCCAGCCTGGGCTACGAGAGTGAAACTCCATCTCAGACACACAAACGTTAAGAGAATGAATCAATTCAGTAACTTGACCCCAAAACTCTTTGTAAATGGAGACATGCTCTGTATACCCTCAGATAAATCAGACCTGAAACACCCCATTCATCCCTCCGATGCATCACCATTCGTAAGGTGCGTACGTCCGGGTGAACGGAGGGGCAGAGCGTGGGGCAACGGGAGAAACCGTAAGACTGGAATTACCATTGGGAGGCCGAGGCAGGAGGATCGCTTGAGGCCACTGGTTCGAGACCAGCCTGGGCAATACAGCAAGACCCCCCTTCTCTGTAAAAGTTACGGGGCGTGGTGGCTCAGACCTGCAGACCCAGCGACTCAGGAGCTGAGGAGGATCGCTTGAGCCCAGGAGGTGGAGGCCGCACCACTGCACTCCAGCCCGGCAGAGCCGGACTCTGCCTCAAAAATAAACGGGAAACTACTTTGTAATTCCACAGCAGCCGCTCAAAGGCAACATCCGTCACGATCTGGAAAAGCTCCAGCCATACGGAAAGCCTGTGGATGCCCGCAGACCCCCCGGCCGTGCCCGCCCACCGCGCCCAAGGGGTCGGATGCCCGCGGACCCCCCGGCCGTGCCCGCCCACCGTGCCCAAGGGGTCGGATGCCCGCGGACCCCCCGGCCGTGCCCACTCACCGCGCCCTTGGTCGGATGCCCGCGGACCCCCCTGGCTGTGCCCAATCACCGCGCCCTCAGGGTTGGATGCCCGCGGACCCCCCCTGGCTGTGCCCACTCACTGCGCCCTCAGGGTCGGATGCCCGCGGACCCCCCGGCCGTGACCACTCACCGCGCCCTCAGGGTCGGATGCCCACAGACCCCCCAGCTGTGCCCACTAACCACGCCCTCGGGGTCAGATGCCCGCAGACTCCCCGAATGTGCCCACTCACCGCGCCCTCAGGGTCCACCAGCAGCAGGTGCTTGGGCCGCCCCGCGTGCATGCCGGTGAGGACGTACTGCCCGGGGTTGGTGACGCTGTCCCGCACCAGGAAGTCCCCGTCCGCGCGGAGTAGCCTCTCTGCCGCCCGGCGGCTCATCCTGCCATGGTACCAGGGCTCCTGCCGCAGCTGCTCCTCCGTGGGCGCCACTGGGGCCCGGCGGGTGGGGGGGCTGGGCCACTGGTCCTCCAAGGGAAGTGGGGTTGCTGTACCCGCAGCCGCTGAGCACTCATGCAGCTTCAAGGCATCCTCAAAGGGTCCTGCAGGCCAAGGACAGCAGCGCTGGGCGGGCAGGGGCCGTGTAGGGGCCGGGCAGCTGCTCCTGCTGGGACCAGAGCTGGGAGGAACGGGTTCCCCGGGGAGGCCCCCGTGACTCATCGGTCTGCGCTGACCGAGCACCCACAGCGTGTGGGACCCGCACTCCGCTCAGCCCCGTGGACACCGTGGCTCACGTGTGCAGTGGCCTGGAAGCCCGGGCTGGGTTTTCTGAGCTGTAAACGGGCGGCGGCAGCTCTGTCTTTCAGATGTTAACTCCTATTTCTCTCTCTTGCCTTGTTAGGTGGGCTTCCCTCCCGCGGCGTGCCCCTCCTGTTTCCTCACTGGCCTTACTGCGCCGGCCACGACCTCCGGCACACGCCACACGGCCCGCACGGCAGCAGGCTCCCTCTCTGGTCCTGGGCGCCAGACCCTTAATGGTCTGCCCGGGGTTTCCTGAAGCTTCCAACGGTACTAACTCCAACAGCCCACTCAGGCCTCCTCGGGGCCTCAGTCCCCTCACTGCAAAGCAGGGGTGGGCGTCTCCCCGGGCAGAAAGCAGCACAGCTCAGACGCTGCCATGCCGGGACCCCGGCCCTGAGGCAAACGCAGCTCCCTGTGGCTGGGGTGGCCTCGCATTCCTCTGACTCCTGGTCCCC